ACTAAGAAAAGTGTAAACAAGATAGAAATGTAAACAAGATAGAAAACACGAAGGTTTGTTCAGTAAAAAGCAAAATAAACAGATATTTTCAATATCGCATAAATCACATGGACTTTAACCAATCATATTTCAACCCCCAGCGCACCCACAAAAATTTTCCGGAAACGTAATTTTTAACCAATCAAATTTCAAGATCAGGTGTAACGTAAACAATCGAAGCGAAGGCACTTTTTTACAAAAAAACAGAAATAACTCTGAATTTTAATTAAGAAACTATCTACTGCGGCCTAATTAAAAATGCACCTTGTGAAATTTTACTATTAAACATTAATTACTCTGACCCTAACCCTAACCACAACGCTGTTTTATTCTTGATAAAAAATTACAGGGAGAGGAAAATTTTGTGGGTACGCTACCTAAAATTTTATTGGCTGTTTCCTCTTTAGGAGTTTGTATTACCGGCACTAAAAAGTAAAGTCGGGACCGCCCTGGCTAACTCGACGTGGCACATCGATATTGGTGACGATACCAGGGCAGCCCGATGAAAATATAGCAGATCAGTATGGTACGGGTACAACTAAGGATGGCAAATGAATTTAAACATGATCTTAAAAGACACGATCGCGATTGTTTGGTTTAAAATAGTTTTTAATACATTTTAAAACATTTGACTTAATTGCAATACATTTTTAAGATCTTTATAATTATAAATAAATATTTATAATAAATATATGATAATTTAATAAAAGAATTTTTATTCGTATGAATGTTTTTATTATTTTTTCTCGAAACAATATTAACCGGAACAGAAATTAACCAATCAGAAACAATTATTTCAGTCTCAATTCAGTTTTTTATTTCAGTTAAAAAACAACTATATATTACAATGATTAATGAATTGATACTGTATAATTAATTTTTCATCGTTACGTGAATAATTATCAAATTATGAAGTGTAGCCGTTGTAATATTTACAAGCCAAATGAGGCTTTTAAAAGTATGAAAAAACAATAATTACAATAAAGAAATCATAACGTGTTCTGGCTGTAAAGCAATAATAGGTTAGTATTTGTCTGTTTTATTTAAATATGCCGATATTTAGCTTACTAGTTCGCACGAATCAAACAAATCGAAAATTATAATCAATGCTTTTTTGTTTTCAAGGGAAAAAATTTTAGCTAGAGTTCTTTACAAAAATTTCTTAATATTAACGTTTGTAATGTTGTTTTTTTTTGCTTTAAAATGATAGATATCTATATGAAATTGAATAAATCCAAAAAAAAAAGATCAATGCACGTCAAATAAAACCCTGTAAGCAAAAAAACGTCTGAGTCCATTCGGATTTCTGTTGACTTTTTTCTTGATGAATATCAAAATTTGCCAATTCTTAGCAAAATATTCGAAATTTGCTATTTTTGCATTAAACATGCGATTACGTATTATTTTCTTTTAAATGCTAATACTACTGCTGAATTTACCGGTTCGTTTTCAATATTTAACTTCACATTTAAGAATGATGTTTACATAGGCATTTATGAGAAAAAGAAAATACCGTTGGTGGTTTTTTTTAACCAAATAATTGAGTAATTTTAACTACTAAGTACAGTATTAGCTTCTATAATTTTTAACATAAATTTGTAATAAGCTATTTAGCTAATTTTGCTAGCTAGTTTTGCTTTAATGACTGGTGGCCCTGGAATGGATCTCATTGAGTTCCGTTTACTCTATTGAAATTATCCCCTGGGTTCATTGCCTGTAAGTAAAGCTTTTATGTGTTTATTTAAGGGAAGATTAGTTGCATAAATTAAGTCACGTTTTTATGATCTCGATACTGTATTAAAACTTTCTAATAAAAAATAACGATAAATGTACCCGATATGAAACGTTTTTGGAAATTAAAAAATTCTATTTCTGCGCAAAATTTTTATACGTACGTATAAACCGATATTTCCCGACCTTTGTGATTATTAATTGTCCGAGGATCCCAAATAAGTATATGATATAATATTAGATATGTAATAACAGTATAAATTCTCAATTTTGCAATTTCACGATAAAAATCTTGATTTCTGCCTACGAACGTACGTTCGTACCAATCCGAGAATTTCTGCAGTATTCTGCATTTTGCAGAAAATCCTCGTTCCTGGTAGTGCTCCAAACTCTTGAATAACCTTCGAATCTCAGTTCGCAATGGTTCCTACAAACAATGAGAAATCGATTTGTGTTGGAGTTTTAGGTGCTTTTCTATTTTGATCTAGCTTGAACTTACTGATGTAAATACTTGTTGAACAAATATTAACAATTATTAACAATTAAACCTTCTAAATAGCTCTTCAAGGTGCCTTTCTTGAACACATACATTTACTTCAACGTATTCCACAAGTATCTCGAGCAGTTCCCGTACGTAATATTGAACAACTTAATTCCGTTGACGCTTTGATAATACCTGGTGGTGAATCTACTGCTATTGCTCTAGTGGCTGAACGTTCAGGTTTAATTGAACCTTTGCGCGAATTTGTACGCTCGAAACCTACATGGGGAACTTGTGCAGGGATGATCTTATTGGCTAATAAGGCCAATAAAACTAAAAAAGGAGGTCAAAGCTTAATAGGCGGATTGGATATAACTGTTAATAGAAATGAGTTTGGAAGTCAGGCAAGTTTTAGTATGATATTTAAATATTTAGAAAAAAAAATTAATACTAATTTTATTTTTTCTTTTTTAACAGATAAACTCTTTCGAATCTGCTATCCAAATTAAACAAATCACTACTTCAACCAATGATCTTTTTCCGGCAGTATTTATTCGTGCTCCAATAATTTCATCTATTAATTCTCCTGATATAGAAGTCTTGGCTCGACTGCAGTGTAATAGTGAAGAAGCTGATATATCTGCAATTGTAGCTGTCAAGCAGGGTCATCTATTGGCAACAGCTTTTCATCCTGAATTGACCAACGATGATCGATTACATAGATTTTTTGTAAAAGTTGCAATTGATTTTTTAAATGAAAAAAAAAGTGAATTATGAATATACAATAGTATACATTTTTATTTATAAAAAAAACTTATTAGAAAATATAATAATCCCTTGATATATATATACGATCGGGGATTATATATTGTAATAATCTACGTAGTAATATTTTGGATTTTGGTAACTTTAATTGATACCTAAATCTCGCATTTTTATCTTTTTTAAATATTTTACAAAAAAAAAAAAATCTTTTAAATATTTATACAAAAAAAATAATTTTTTTTTTTAAATATTTATACAAAAAAAATAATCTTTTTTTTAAATATTTATACAAAAAAAAATCTTTTTTTAAATATTTATACAAAAAAAAATCTTTTTTTAAATATTTATACAAAAAAAAAAAAATTAAACTTGATTTATTAAAAGCTACAAATTTTAGAAATTTTTTTTTTTTATTGTAGTAGCTAATATTAAATAGGTTAATAATCTACTGTATTTTAATATGAAACTTTAAACTTTTTTTTAGAATTAGATTAAAAGATTGTTGTTAATACAGTATATAGTAAAAAAAAATATATAAATAAATTTAATAAATATAAAATATATACAGTATATATATAGTATATATATACTGTATATACTGTATTGTGTAGGTTAATAAAAATTTTAATTTTAGAATATATAACCTATTATATATACAGTATTATATATTTATTTATACAGTATTGCCTATAATTTATACAGTAAATTTTAGATTGAATTTGCCATTATTAATTGTGCATTTTCTTGTATTTAATAAAGCTAGTCTTGAATATCCCTTTTGACATCAATTTCGTACAAAATAACATTTAATTTCGTACAAAATAACATTCAATTTCGCACAAAATAACAAACTGACATTTAAATTCGTATAAAGCAACATTCAAATCCGTACAAAATAACAAAAGCCGCGATACCTCGTGATGTAGTAATCCAATATATATGATTTTTGATACCATTAGAATCATCTCATCGAGAGGATTCGAATGGTACCAAAAATCACCTATATTGAATTACTACATCACGAGATATCATGATTTAATCGAACTTTTAATTGTCATTTTGTGCAGATTTGATTGTTGCTTTGTACTGTACGAATTTAAATGTCACTTTGTACGAAATTGAATGTTATTTTGTACGAAATTGAATGTTATTTTGTACGAAATTAAATGTCCTTTTTGTACGAAATAAGTGTCAAAAGGGATATTACTATTAAAAAATTTTTTAATCATATATAGCTTATACTACTTTATATCTTGAATTATTTAAAAATTTATAAGGTAGCTCGTCTAGAACATTAAAAAAAACAATACAATTTGATCTACGAATCAAAAAGATTTGTAGTTGGTAATATACTGAGTAATACATGAGTGTCGTCAAGGAAAACCTAATTAAATAGATTATTAGGTACAAAATATAATTGAAAGCTCGATAGCAGGTTTTCCCCTGACGGCACTCATATTTATTAGGGTAAAGCTCAAATATCAATAATATTTTAATATCAGTTGGACCTTGAACTGTCAGGATCTTATAGCACCTAAACATTACAGATAAAAAAAAACTTGAGATTATTCTTTTTATTGGAATATTGTAAAAATCTAAAAGTTCAGTGGGTATTCCAGATTTTTGTCGATATCACCCTATTACGGTTTATGTTATATAGTGATAATTAAAAAACCTTAAGGCTAATTAAATATTGTATCACTTTCCATTGATCTAAATTCATTGTTTAAGTACATTATATCTCTAATGATATAAAGTATATTTTGATATTACACAATAAAGTATAGCTCAATAAATATACAAAAAAAGAATCAACCTTTTGTAATGATCAAAGTTTATAAGTGAATTATTATTATTATTATAAGAAATCGATCAGTCGATTTGAAAAAAAAAAAGACCGGCTAAACCAAAAATTAGCTTTATCAATTTTTTTTTTTTCATTATTGATCAGGATCACCATTTCGAACTATTCGAACTAGTTAATTTAATCCCAGCCTTCTCCCTGATTAACATTTTCTGTTGGTTCATCCGCCCAATTACCACTAGGGTCACCACCAAAAGGTGCACCTTCAAATGTTGTAGTAGTCTCGGTAGGTTCGGTAAAACCAGTAGCAGTCTCTCCATATGAAGAATCGAAAGTACTCTCGCCCCATCCACTAGGTTCTACAACTTCTTGTGTATCCCAATTTGAATCACCGGTAGTTACTGGATTAGCAGTAGCAACCATGGCAACAGAAGGATTAACACCACCAGGTGCTGTTATGCCAGACGCATCCCAATCAGTAGGTGCTTCTTGTTGCTCCCAACTAGTATCCATAAATGGAGTGACTCCACTCTTCTCTCCCAAGACAGGTGCGGTCTCTGCTTCTTTCTCTGTTTCTTCTGGATCACGGTAAAAGAACATATCAACCATAACATCCCACGGAGAGTCTCTTGCAATGGTACCTCGAAGACGAAGCACTTCACGAGCCAACAACCAATAAATTAAACCAATTGAATGCTTGGCCTTATTATTGGTTGGAATTGCAACGTCAACAAAACGAAGAGGAGAATCCGTATCAGCTAATGCAATAACGGGAATGTTAACATAAGACGCTTCCTTGATGGCTTGATGATCAGTCCTCGGGTCTGTCACAACAATCAAGCGAGGCTCTTTGAAAGATCTAGTAATATAATTCGTAAAAGTTCCAGGAGTAAATCGACCAGCAATAGGATGTGCACCGGTGTACGAAGCATATTTTAATACAGCACGATGACCAAATGGACGAACTGAAATTATTACAACATCTGCAGGATTTTCAATGGCAGTAATAATACGGGCAGCGAAAATCAATTTTTCCCATGTCTTGCCAATATTAATTATATGAACGCCTATAAATAAAAAAGAGTAAATTGATCCATAAAATTGACAATTAAAAATAGACAAAGAAATTGATGTCTTTTGTACTATTAAATATTTTTAATAGATTTTTTTTTTAAAAAAAAAAAAAATTTACCGTCAGCACGACGTTTAAAGACATAAGGAGTCATTTGAACATTTAAGTTTTTGGCACCGATATGACATTGTGCCGCCAGGAGGAGTTGGATATCCTCTTCTGTGGCTGTTTTCCAATTTGTATTAATAGACCGATAATTCACAGAAATAAATTTATTCGAATACAAAAGTTAAGTATCCATCCGAACCATCGATACTATATATACATTAACAAATCAATAAGTAAAGTACCGTTCAAAATGGCTGGAAATTTGGACATCACTGTCAAGCTATGGGACAGCTTTTCGCCGATTCCAATAGAAGGGAGGTCTTGAAAATGCGCAAGAAATCAGAATTTATAGGTCAAAAAAAAAAAAATTTTTGATTTATGACGTCATCCAAGATCGATTATCAACATGTGAAATCACGTGTGTGCATAGTTAGAAGTTCAATCATTATCCTAGAGACTTATCGTAAAAGCAATGGGAAAAAGGAAACGTTCGTTCCGTCCGCCACCCACTTACGAGACAGGAAATGATAAGTTTGACAATCAAGGTGGAAGGATAAAAGCAATCACCACATGGGATGATATAGAGCATGATTCGGAAGACGAATGTAAGAAATAGCGTCTTAAGCTTGTTTGTTTAGATCGGTATTTACAAATTATTAACACAAATGTAATTGCTTTGTGAACAGTTTATGCTGGAAGGGATCAAATTTCCCTAGATACCTATGAATCCCACAAACGTGGTATGCTTTTTTTTTTCCTTCTTTTTGAAAGGACAAAAGATCATGGTTTCATAAAAATTTATGTCTTTGTTTATAGACGAAACAGAGTTATCTGAAGAAGAAGTATTCCCATTGGAGATGGCAGCTTCATCGGATGAAGATGAAAATGAGATGAACAGTCTCGAGGAAGATGACTCAATTCTTGACTCTAGGTGGGGAAGCCGCAAAGAAAATTATTACAATGCAGATGAGATTTCTAATTTAGATGATGCAAAGGAAGAGGAAGAGGAAGCATTAAAGTTACAGAGGAAAAGGATTAGTCAAATGACAGAAGATGATTTCTTGGAAATTGACAACGAATTATTGGAGCACAAGATGGTATTTATTTATAATGATTTAATTAGCCTTATTCCGTACAAACAATAATATGAATATAAAATTCTTTTTAGGCTGATAGGAAGCAAATTGAAAGTACTGATTATGATAATGACTTTGATTTAATATCACTTGATAGGTGAGTCTTTAAAAAGCATTTCGTTTGTTTTTATTGTTTCTATGTATTTATAAAAACTAAGCCGAATTTAAAAGGGAAGTTTCAGTAAAAGAACGTCTAAATTTATCGCGAGATGATGTAATTCAAACAATACAATCTGAATCGCCTGAACTTATTGAATTATTAAATGAGTTCAAAGAAAAATCCTCAATACTTTGGAATAAAGTTACACCTTTATTGGAAAAGTAAGTTACATGAAATCTATATATTTTTATATTTTTCTATAAATGTTACTAATTAGCTTAAATTGTTTACTAGAGCTAGACAAAAAAATCTTACACATAATCCAGCCATGAAGTTTATATCAATAAAACATCAAACATTAGTTCACTATTTAATAAATATTTCTTTTTATTTGGCTCTTAAGTCATCAGGAACACAAAATTTACGCAAGCATCCAGTAATAGATGCTCTAGGAAAATTGAGAATGACTTGGGATAAATTAGAGAGGTTGGAACGTAACATTGAAGGAATTCTTGAATGGAATGATTATGATAAAAATATGGCAGCTGATCTCAATGACGAAGATCCAACTGATCTCAATAATGAAGAAGATCTAGATGATTTCTATAATATGGTGAAAGAAGCCAAGAAAGCTACAAAAGAACAACGTATGAAACAATTTGAGATGGAGCGTAGTAAAAATATGTAAGTGTTATATTTTCGTTATTTTAATTATACTGTATAAAACAAAGTTATTAAAATGCCTTTATTTTGATAAACAGGATTGTTTATGAGGACGATAATACTCTTCCCGAAGGTGCCAAACGCCAAATTAACTATCAGATCCTCAAGAATAAAGGACTCACACCTCATCGTAAAAAAGAGCAACGTAATCCACGTGTTAAACATAGAAATAAGTACGAAAAAGCAAAGAAGAAAATCAAAAGCATTAAACGTTTATTTTCACAACAAGAAGGTTCTTATGGTGGTGAGAAGACTGGTATCAAGACTGGATTGTCCAGGAGTATTAAGTTAGAATAAGCTTAACTTTTTATAGGTAATTCAAAATATCTTGATGTATATTAAATTAAACTATCTATTTTGTCTGTCGAAACAAATGAGACTAATAATAATTAGTCGTATTTTCTTACGACAACGAGAAAAACACCAATTATTTTGACGGCAATTTATCAAATAAATTAGTGTTTTAATCCTAATGTGATTAATGTTTAATCAATGTTAAAAACTCTTCTCTAGTCTTCGCCTGTTCCCTAAACACACCTAACATAACACTTGTGGTAGTAGAGCTTCCGGGTTTCTGTACTCCACGCATTACCATGCACAAATGGCTAACGATCCAAAATTGATCAAAATTAATTAAACACAGTTATTAAATATGATAATCACTAAATAGCATTTATAAAATAAAAAATACATACGTTGCCTCCATTACAACAGCTACACCTTGAGGTTTTAATATTTCTTGCAAAGTAACAGCGATCTGTTTTGTTAAACGTTCTTGAAGTTGAAGTCGTCTCGAAAACATTTCAGCGATACGAGCAAGTTTTGATAAACCGAGCACACGACGATTTGGAATATAACCTATACTGATCTGTTGTTTAAAGATTATGAGGCATATATTTATATCAAGCTTAGCATAAACTTTATTATGATCAAATTCTCACCTTTCCAGTAAATGGTACTAAATGATGTTCACATAAGGAGAATACGTCTATATTTTTAACAATGACCATTTCGTCATGATCTATTTTAAAAATGTATTATAATTAACATATGAAAAATATGTATTACACTGCATATAATAAAATTAAACCTACCTTCTTCGAAAATCGCACCATTAATGATCTCTAATATTGTTAAATCGAAAGATTTATAAGTAAATTTTAGAACAATCTATATAAATAGCGCAAATTAGATTGCATACGTTCAATACTCTCTTCATAACCTTTAGAATAGAACATTAACGATTGTGCACACCTTTCAGGTGTTTTCAACAATCCTTGTCGTTTAGGATCTTCACCGATACATTCCATAATCGTTTTAACAGCTTCCGAAAGTTTTTTTATACGTTCCTCCTTTTGTTCATTAGTCTCGTTTAGCCGCTGTTTAGTGCCTATACCTATAATTAAAAATGAACATTATAAATAATTAATCAAAAAAAAATAAAATAAAACAAAGTAAAAAAAAACACTAACTCGGCCAACTTAAACCGTCTATGTCGATAGGAGAGTCACTGCGAATTACGGGCGAATAAGGGCGAGATATTATTAGGCCATTAGTACTAGAAGTAGCCTTCTGAGGTGCTGGAGCATGATAACCAGTTTCCTGATTAAAGTCCATTATCAAAATTTAAATCAATAAAAAAAAAAATTGATTAAAAAAAAAATCGCGGATTATGTCATTATATTAGCAAATTTTAATACCACGTGAGGAACGGACAGAAAACTTTACTGGTCAACAGAAGAATTATTTATTGTGCAAAAGTTCTTTACCTCGTAGTTATTGTCAAGTTACAACCTGAAAATTATATTAACCATCTGATTATCATTCACTTCTTTATTTACCGTGAACACAGCCTACGTTCCCGAATTACATAATAATACGTATAACAATAATAAAAAATTATATTACGAATTTTTCACTATTCATGTGATATTTCCAACACTAATTTTGGAGAATCCGCTGAATGAAACAATTATTTTTAAATAAATAAATATATTTATTTTGATTATAAATTTTGCATAAAACGAAAAAAGGTCGAATAACCGTCAGATTACAAATAATTCCGATGACATTTGTGGAACAATTTTCAAAACTTTGGATTGAAATTTCACAATTTTGGAAAAGCGATAGACATTTTTATATGGGTGAATTACAGTAAATTCGAAAATTTTAATGGCAGAAAAAAAGTATAGTGGCGCAGTTAAATGTTACTAATAATAGTTATCGTTATGTATATATGGCGATATATAGTTAAAATTAACTCGATCGACTCTAAATCATTTTGTAGCGAACTCTGGATATAGCAACCATGAATTTATGATGTACAATATTTTAAGAAAATAGTAATGTTATATATCTTCTTTTCAAGAATCATGATTAAAAGGTTATAAATATCGTTATCGTTATGTATTTAATGCATTATGATGTATTTCTAATTTTGTCTCCAAATCATACATAATGTAAAAACTATCAAATACTAAAATTGTTTGGAATTAACTTTGGTACGTACAAAAATTAGTACGTATCTCTTAATCTGTAGCTATTTTATATTCATGCATATTTGGAAATATACGTATATACTATATATATATTAAAAATGACATAATCATTGATAGTAATAAACTTTGGAAGACGATAGTTGATAAGGCGAGTTCAAAAATGTTAAAATTTAATCACAAGTTAAAAAAAAGAATAATTCTTTGTTCTATAAATTATGAAATAATTATCCTACTTTTCATATTTCTTATTGCGAAAACTGAGTATGAAATAAGTTCTACACCTTCGTATTCAACTACAAATAAACGAGAAAGATTGATTTAATTTATTTACATAAGTTTATTATAAATAAAATTTGTATATACTACAGTCCGGGATATCCAAATTTGGGGGTCGGTTAAAGCGGAGCGAGTTTTGATTGTCTACGAGTCACATGTTGAGGTAATAACCAGTAAACAAACAGAAATTGACACGTGCATAGGCATTATAAAAATAACATAAAAAAAAAAGAATCGATTTGAAAATAGGAGGAAAAGCAAAAAGGAGACGAGAACTTTTTTTTTTCTTAAGCTTTTTTTTAAAGACGAAAAAGTTTTTTTTTTTTCTTCGCTTTTATTAAATGTCAAAAACCAGTGGCAGATTTTACGGAAGTTTTTTTTCTTAAGTTTTTTTTTTGAGAAAGGCGTTTTGTTTTTTTTTTTAGAAAGACAGTTTTTTTTTTTTCTTAAAAGGTTTTTTTCTGTTTTTTTTTTTAAGACGAAAATTTTTTTTTTTTTTTCTTGAGAAAGTTAAAAAAGAAGTTTTTTCTTAAGAAATTTATTTTTGAGCAATAGTTTTTTTTTTTTTTTTTTTTGAGCAGTTAGCTTTTTTTTTCTTTTTTTTTTTTTTTTTTTTTTGAGGTGGTTATGAACAAAGAGAACGATATACGTTCACTTTTTTTTAATGTTGGCAATCTCTTTGAAGTATCAGCTGAAGAGTTTGATAATAATTTGTGGCCTTTGGTCACAAATATATGGACGCAATTCAGCTCGAACAAGCTCCAGAACGGTGACTCCTGGAAGATATATACTTGTCGTTTTATGAAACATCGAAATTCAAGTACGCGACAAGAAGGTGTACCAGATGACAAAAGGAGAAAAACCTACATTCGACTGGCTGGTATTTGTGAGGCCAAAATTAAAGTAACCTGGTCTGTTTCATCAAGAATGGTTCGAATTGAGTGGTTCAAAGATTCTCCAGATCACACGTATATCTTAAGTAAAAGTGACATAAATAAATGCTCAAATACTATTCATACCTTGGTTACAAACGAAGCAGTCAAGAATTACGCTCCCGTAGCAATAACCAATGCAATCAAAGAATATGCAAAAAATGAGTTAGGGTTAAATGACAGCGTTGAATATCTAAGACGTAGGGAGGTAGCAAATATAAGATACAAACTTCAAGGGCCTATGAATGCTTATTTAATAGGTAGTGAAAATTTAGGAATAGATATATTCGAGACTTTGTCGTATTTAAGGGGAGAGGATTATCATGCAGAACATTACCACGTTTCTCAGCAATCTGTGAATAAAGTAAAATGTACAGAAGGTATAAAAAATTTTTTTTTCTTCTTTTTTTTTTTTTCTTTTTCTTTTTTTTAAACCTACTCTAATGGAACGTTGATTTTTTTATATCTATAGATATAATTTTTATAAATCCTAGACAAATAGAGAAACTTCAGTGCCACAGTTGGCTCACATTAATGGATTCCACACATAAGACAAACAAACATGGTTGGAAGCTCTTCACCTTGTATGTCCGAGACAATCATGGATATTGGGAAAGCGGTTCACATTTTTTTGTATGCACTGAGGATAGTGTTACTATTGCAAGGGTGCTGCAATTAATTCGAAGTAAATGTCGTCGTTGGATCCCCCGGTATATTTTAATTGACCAAAGTAGTACCGAAGCTAACAGCATAAAAAAAGCTTTTCCTGGTGTTAGTGCTAGAGAACAAGAGTGTGGAATTTTATTTTGCATTGTCCATTTAATGCGCACATGGATTTCAAAAATTTATAAGGATGGAGCCTGAAAAATTATACTCGAAGCTATGTATAAAAAAACAAAAGCAAGTTGCGAGCAACTTGTCAAAAAAGTTGTTAACAATTGTCTAGTCCCTGCTATCCGCAATTATGTTAGATGACAGTATGCAAATAATACTCACCAATGGGCCCTTTGGGCATGAAATCATTCCCCACTTCTGCTCCAAGTTACTTCAACTAATGCATTGGAGTCTTTTCATAGTAAGCTAAAAATTATAACATCTCATTTATACGGGTTGGTTGGTGCATCTCAAAAAATTGTCACCCTTAAATGTAAAAAACAAATTGATGCTGAAAGTGTTGCCTTTAATTTTCATACAAAAAAAGTGTCAGTCTATAGTATCGAAGACAAAATCACTAAAGAAATCTATAAGTTCCCCTATCCCATGCAATTAATGATTGTAAAAGAAGCAAGCACAGTAATGGATAGGTTAGCAAAAGGTAAAGGTGCTCCGGGGCTTACTTCTTTTAATTGCAGCTGCTTGTTCCATAATAATTATATGTTGCCATGCAAACATATATTTCATGAACATATCTATGGTTCTCGCCAATTATTGACTACCGAAGCCTAAAAAATGTTTCAAGAAATTTTTGAGGAGAGTGGTTTCGAAGTGTATGAAGGTCGGGAGTTAGTAAATGTAGGAGTAACAGAAAGAAGTGAAGAAGAAATAAGAGCAGAAAATCGACATCATACCATGAATGAGCTAACCGAAAGATTGCAAGAAAAATATTGGAGTGTCGAAGAAAGAGGTGGAGCCAACGAAGCAGAGGCATTTATATCTAGGTTAAAAGGTTCTTTGCATCCAATTTTTAATATCAATTAAAAAAAAATTAGATATTTATATATACGGTAGTTTCGGAAATTTGAAGGCAAAACTATAAAAAAAAAAAAAAAAAAAAAATTAGGCCTTTGAAAATTCAATAAAATTCAGTAAGAATTGTGAAACAATACTTATCTTTTTTGCCAATGCAAAATGTATTTAAAATTTGTTTTTTTTTAAAGTTCAATTTACAATAAAAAAAAATCACCATTGGTTATTGGCTAACTTATACACGTGACTGATCGGTTTATCTGTTTGTTCGTTGATTGTCTACACAACACATGATTCGTAGACAATCAAAACTTGCTCCGCTTTAACCAACCCCCCAAATTTGGCAGATAGCATTTTGTATAACAGATAGCAGTTTGGAATAATGAAGATCGATTCTAGAAAGATCTGTAAAATTTTATTGGCTTATAGTCATACTTTTTTGATATAAAATTTGAGCCCTTCACGATATCTATTAATAACTTATAATTATATACGTGAAAAGTAGAAGATTTAAAGTTTCATAATCAATAGAAAATCAATTATAATTAGTCTTGTTTAGCAAAATAAATGAAACCCAAAAAAAAGGTAATTTCAAAGTTTATACTTCTTGGTTTCTTGAGTTTTTACACTTTTACTGGTATTTTAAATGCTACAAAGACAGCAACATTCTTGAGTTATTTATATTATTTCAGTATTTACTTTATATTTAATGGAACTATTTATAATGCATAGCAGATGGCAGCAATGAATATGACAAATCTTACACCAGCTTAATAAGAAATTTAATTGGTGACTTGATCGATGGCCTGAGATGTCTTGTGATGCTTCGTGATTATGCCTTTCATTTTTTATTGTTAAATACCATTGACCATCTTTCATCTTCTTGCCATATAGCTCAAAAGGACAATCTATTAGCCTTGTGCTTGTGGCTCTTTGGCGAGTTTCATCAGTGAGATTCAATCGATTAATGTAATGACCGCCTCTATCACACTGCAAATAGACAAATTTTTCTCGCTCAGATCATTTGATGCTCACAGCATATCCATGGCTCAAGGCATGGGTTTGAATATGATTAATAAGTGCTTCACGACTTTCAAAGTTACCAGTTGAGGGTGGGGACAGAGATATAATTTATGGTTTATAGTTTCAAGTATAAATTTGTGTATTAAGGACTATCAAGGAATTCAGGTATACAAGAATGTTTTATTAATGCTTTTTTACTTTA